GATGTTGTGGGTTTCGTCGTGGAGAAAACTTGCAGACATACAACACTTCAGAATCACACTGATACAGATTGAACATGTATCTAAATTTGGCAGCTGAACACATTCTGTACAGTACAGGAGACAGGAGTCCCTCAGCCAATCAGGATGCAGCGGGAGGAACACAATCATATCAATGTAAAAAAAAAAAAAGACATGCAAAATTGCACAAAAAAAATAAAAAAATAAAATAAAAATCTGCGAAACAGCGAGACCGCGAAAAGTGAACTGCGATAGAGGGAGGGACGAGTGTAAACCAGGTCTAAACCAGAACTGACCCAGGTCTAAACCAGGTCTAAACCAGGTCTAAACCAGGTCTAAACAGTGTGGAGTTCTTTGTCAGTCCTTTCGCCCGCGGTCACCTGAAGGTCTGCGAGGTCTACGTTTCACCGCTGCTGATATCGAGGTGATTTTAGCGAATTTGTATGAAGAAAAACCCACCACTTCAATCCAGGTTAAAAAAACACTGTAACGCACATTTGTCCCGAGTAAAATATTACTATTTTTTCCCCTGTAATGTCGAACATTACTGTGTTACAGCAAAAAGTAATGCATTGCTGTAATTTGTTACTTTTATAACGCGTTACTCCCAACACTGCTGACAAGTAAGGTCAAAGTGCAATTTTGAGCTGAGTATTTCTCACGATATTTATTCCCGTGATAAAGAATTTCTCAAATACAAACAAAATGACAAACAGGACGTGGTCGACTCAGGCTCCAGGTCACTTTGTACTGAAAAAGCGTCTGTCTCTGTAAGTGCCACTGTCCCACTCGTTATTTTGGTTTTAAAATGTTTGTATTAACCCGCTCGACGTGATCCTGGGATTCTTACTGGTGTTTTTTTCTGTCCTCACAAAAGTCGACGACACAAACTGAGCCACAGAGTCGTCACTTTGAGGCTGCGAGTTCAGGTACAAACTCAAAAAGAGAAAAAGCAGGAGCAGAAAAACCTGTTCTCTCACTTCTTCTCTCACATTCTTCAACTCACTTCTAAGCTCCACATTTTCTCTTGAAGCCTTCCAGACCTGAGGGCAGTTTGAGTTTGAGTTTGAGTTTGAGTTTGAGTTTGAGTTTGAGTTTGAGTTTGAGTTTGAGTTTTGTTCTCGCCTGGATATTTCTCCCCCTTTTACACATCCTTTTTTTTTCACTACAATCTGTAATTTCACAACCTGCTGCTGTAGTTGTGTCATAGGAAAACACATGAAGACGCTGCACCTGTCCACCTGTCCACCTGTGCACCTGTCCACCTGTGCACCTGTCCACCTGTCCACCTGTCCACCTGTCCACCTGTCCACCTGTCCACCTGTGCACCTGTCCACCTGTCACCTGTCCACCTGTCCACCTGTCCACCTGTCCACCTGTCCACCTGTCACACCTGTCCACCTGTCCACCTGTCACCTGTCCACCTGTCCACCTGTCCACCTGTCCACCTGTCCACCTGTGCACCTGTCCACCTGTCCACCTGTCCACCTGTCCACCTGTCCACCTGTCCACCTGTCACCTGTCACCTGTCCCTGTCACCTGTCCACCTGTCCACCTGTGCACTGTCCACCTGTCCACCTGTCACCTGTCACCTGTCCACCTGTCACCTGTCCACCTGTCACCTGTCCACCTGTCACCTGTCCACCTGTCACCTGTCCACCTGTCACCTGTCCACCTGTCCCTGTCACCTGTCACCTGTCACCTGCACCTGTCACCTGCACCTGACCTGTCCACCTGTCACCTGTCCACCTGTCACACCTGTCCACCTGTCACACCTGTCACCTGTCAGTCCCTGTCACCTGTCCACCTGCCACCTGTCCACCTGTCACCTGTCCACCTGTCACCTGTCACCTGTCACCTGTCCACCTGTCCACCTGTCACCTGTCACCTGTCCACCTGTCCACCTGTCCACCTGTCCACCTGTCCACCTGTCCACCTGTCCACCTGTCACACCTGCACCTGTCACCTGTCCACCTGTCCACCTGCACCTGTCACCTGTCACACCTGTCTGCCTGCACCTGTCCACCTGTCACCTGTCCACCTGTCCACGTCAGCTCTGCACCTGTCACCTGTCACCTCTGTCACCTGTCACCTGTCCACCTGTCACCTCACCTGTCAGTCCACGCTCCTGTCACCTCTCAGTCGTCGCTCCAGAGAACAAGACCCCGACAGACTTGAACTCGTCCACTTGAGGCAGAGACTCTCCTCCCGGAGACGACGCTCAGTGTCGGGGAGTAACAGATTACATGTACCGGAGTTATGTAATCAGAGTACAAATGATGAGTAACTGTATTCAGTTACAGTTACTGTTTCAGTGAGTGGTAATTGGATTACAGTTACTTTGCTGAAATAAAAGGATTACACGGCGGGATTTTCCTGTTTTCACATTTTAGGCTATATTCCTTTTTTCTTTTTTTTTCTTTTTTCCCCCCGGTAATTCCACTCATAGCCGGAAACTAAACCAGGACTAAACCAGGTCTAAAACAGGTCTAAACCAGGTCTAAACCAGGTCTAAACCAGGACTAAACCAGGTCTAAACCAGGACTAAACCAGGTCTAAACCAGGACTAAACCAGGACTAAAACAGGTCTAAACCAGGACTAAACCAGGTCTAAACCAGGTCTAAACCAGGACTAAACCAGGACTAAACTAGGTCTAAACCAGGACTAAACCAGGTCTAAACCAGGACTAAACCAGGTCTAAACCAGGACTGAAACCAGGTCTAAACCAGGTCTAAACCAGGACTAAATCCTGCTGTGTGGACGTGTTTCTTCTTCTTCTATCAATAATATTTTTAATTTGGTTCAGTAAAGTTTGTTTTTTTATTTTCTTTTAGCAGAAAAAACTTCTGATGTGAAGATTTCCTCGTCTTTGTTTCTCTACAGCAAATCAAGTAATCCAAAGTAATCAGATTACATTACTCACTTTAAGTAATTTCATGGATTACGTCACAAACTACATTTTGAGGTGTGTAATCTGTAATCTGTAGGGGATTACATTTTAAAAGTCACTTTCCCAACACTGACGACGAGACGCCTTTTTCCAGAACCTCGACCTCGGATCTGGAGGAGCCGATCTTCACCCCAGACGCTTCACACTCGGGTCAAACCGCCCCAGAGCTGCAGGTCCTGGACGACATCATCTGTGAAGAGCAGAGATGATCCTGTGGTCCTCAAACCGGACCCTCCGACCCCTGACTCAAACTCTCAGACTCCTTGTTGGAGTCCGTGGGAGGGGGACTGGACAGTTCCCCGACCAGGGACTCTGTTGTTCTACTGAGGAACTTCACGTGAGGAACGACAGTGACACTTGGAGAGGTTTGATCAGGAGGAACGGCCCCCGATCTGAACCCGAGCGCTGTTCTGTTCTGTTACTGTTCATAACAAACACCATGTTCCAGCACAAGGTCCATCTGTGCACGTGGCACCAGGACCTCAGCCGGAGGTCGATGATCCACTTTGTCGTTGTGTCATGTGACCTCCAGCTGCGTGTTTTGGACACTCGGTTTCACTTGGTGGAAACCGTGTGACCTGCAGCGTTAGGATTCATTCACTCGACAGTAGGCGGGGACTTTTTTTATTGAACCAATCGCTGCTGTTTGGTCGTGACTGGGGACGGGCATTTGATGAAATCTTCTTAATCAATCATCGGAAGAATTAACGATCGATTATCGATTAATCATTAACGTTATTATATTAAAATGATCATCATTATTTTTACTATCTGCACTAATCTGCATCAATAAATTCAACTTTACGACATATAAAATAACGACTCTAGATCCACATCAGCTGTTTGACATTATAATGTGTTTAATTCAGTTTTGTTCAAATCTCACAGAAACAAAACTTAAAACCACATCACTAATTTAAAATTAAAAAATAAATAAATAATAATAATAATAATAATAATAATAATAATAATAATAATAATAAATAATAATGTTTGCCTTAGAAACTTGCTTTGTACAGAAAAGTAAAAAAAAAAAAAGCTTTTTTCTGTTCTTGACTGAGATTCTCATTTTTCTATCAAACAAAAACATTAAAGCTCTGGCACTGGAAATACACTTCACTTTAATATTTGGTTTGAGATTTACACTGATTCTTTATTTTCCTTTTGCTGATCACATGAACTTTACTCAAACTGTAGGAACTGACAAACTGAACTGAAATAGTTTTTTTTTTTTTTTTTTTTTTTTTGAGTGAGATTCTCCAGAGTCAGAAGAATAAACCTGAACTTTACAAACTCGTGTCCTGCTCCTGTTTAAAGAAAAACAGATGTGACTCTTTCATTTACATTTACAATAAAAGTCACTCTACACAACTTTTGAGTTCAATAATCATTCATTTTGTGTGATTAATCATGATTAAACTCCTGCGATCAAAGCGTTTAAGAGTTTTTATTTTTGCTGCAGCTCTAATATAAATAAAATGAATAACAGCAGAGTTCTGACACATTCTAACCACGAAAACACGTCAGCTGCAACTTCAAATGTTTTTAAAAATGGAAAAATGCAGGTAATGAATTAATATTAATTAAATAAAATAATAAATAAAAAAAATGAAGGAAATTAATAAAAAGGGGAAAGAAAGGGAGAAAACTGCCTTTAAAATGACAGATGCCAGTGAAGTTTCATGTTTCTTATTGTTTCATGTCACGTTCTGTTTTTTTCTTTAATAAAAAATGTAAATACAAAATAAAAGTTTGTGGAAAAGTGGAAAAGCGCCGCGAGCAGCAGAGTTTGGGACAGTTTAAATTAAAATTTGGAAACAAACACA